CCTTCACCCCCTATGATGCATGATTCATTTCACACAAGCTAATGACAATCTATGGATAAAAGGAAAATGTGTTTTGCTCTTGTTGTAAAACTGTTTCCTGCATTGTAAACTCAAACAATTTAATTTAATGCAGAGCTTGTGTTCTTCCTGAACAGTATAACGGCTCACCATTAAAAGTTTTTGGGAAAGTAGTTGCTAAACATGTTTCTACCCCTTACAAGATAATTCACTTTCTGAAGTGTTTAAATCAGGTTTTAAAGCACATCATAGTCAAAAGCTCAACAGCTTTGGTGAAATTCACTAATGATATATTGGTGGCCTCAGATAATGGAGTTGTATCTGTACTCCTCCCGTTAGGTCTTACTCCTGAATTTAGACTCAGACAACTTTGTCATTTTGTATGCACAGAGTGTATACAAATCAAAATTTCGTTTTGCACAGATTTCATGGTATTTTTTTTTCTTAAAGTGCAGCAGTGATCAAATGTAAACAGTGTGGGGGAAAAATATGGTGCAAAACAACGCATTTATATGGAAGTTCAAAGAATTAAATATATATGGTGCAATTAAGAAGTCTTTTGGTTTGGTGTTGTCAGTGTGATGCAGAGTCTGTGAAATGATTTGGAGTTCTCTCAAGTGCTTCTCAGCTGTCTGATGCTGGTGGGGACCTGCATCAAATACTTTTATTTATTTTAATGATTAATTATTAATTCATTAGTTAATTAATTAATTAATTAATTAATTTATTTATTTTTTTCGGTGGGGGGGAGCGGTTGCGGGCAGGTCGGTGTCTGGTGTCCACTGTCGCATTGTGGGGGCTTTTCTGCTTGGCGGGTTTTTTTTCTTCTAGCGGGTGATTGGCATGTCTGTTTTCTCGGGGGTGGGCGGGCCCGTTGGGTGGGGGTCTTGCTGGCGGCGCGCCGCTGGTGTGTGGGGGTCTGGGCGGCTCCGGCGGGGGTGGTGTTGGGGGGACGGTGTGGATGGGCTGGCTGCGCTGATTGGGTTTTTGGGTGGGTTTTCCCTCTTGGAGGCATGGTGGAGCTGCTTTGTTCCCGCTGATCGCGGTGGGTGTGGGTGCGGGGCGGGCGGGGTGGCTCTGGCCAGTACGCGTCGGGGGGCCGGGGTGGTGGAGCTGCTTCGGCCACGTGTCGCGGGCTGGTTCGGGCGGCGGGGGGGGCGGCGTGCGCGGCTGTGCTGCTCTGAAATTGTCCGGTGGGGGAGCGGCGTGGTTCGCTCCGCTCTGGCTTTGTGCTGCCCGCGGGCTGCTGGAGCGGAGTGATTGCGCCGGATGTGGTCTGCTCTTCTTGCGGTCGGGCGTCGGGCGGCTTTTCCGCTCTTGGGTTAATTCTGTGCGCGGTGTGTTGCGTTGCGCGCTGTTGGCATCGGTCTTGGTGGGGTGTTGCCGCGCTTTTGGCCTGGGGGTCGTTTTGGGGGGGTTTAGCGGCCGGTCGACGGGGCTTGGTGCCGTGGGCGGGGCGTGTTTCGGTGCTCTGTGGGGCAAGGGGGTTTTGTTCGGTGCCGTGGGGGGCCGGTGTTCGGTGCCTGGCCCTACTTCAGGATAATATTTATATAAACATATATCAAAAGAAAAATAATCCTAGGTTCCTAGTTGGCTAGTGGGTGGGGAGGGTGTCAGTGATTAGAGAGTGGGTAGAGTGTTCATCATCCTGATTGCTTGGTGTATGAAGCTACTTGCAAGTCTGGTGGTGTGGGAGTGGAGGCTCCCGTATCACTTTCCAGAGGGCAGAAGGCTGAATAGTTTGTGTGCAGGAGCGGTTGTGTCCTTGACAATCATTAGTGCTTTGCGGGTGGTGTAAATGTCCAGCAGGGAAGGGAGTGGAGCTCCAATGATCCTCTTAGCTGTGTTAACAATGTGCTGGAGGGTCTTCCTGTTCTGATTTGTGCAGTTTCCGCCCTACACTGATGTAGCTGGACACGATGCTCGCGATGGTCCCTCTGTAGAATGTGGTCGTGACAGGAGGCGTGGCACTTGCCTTCTTCAATTTGCGCAAGAAGTAGAGGAGCTGCTGGGCTTTCTTTGCCAATGATACTGTGTTGGTGGTCCAGGAGAGCTCTTGCTGATGTGAATCTCCAGGAATTTTGTGCCGCTCAATCTCTCCACAACATCTCCATCGATGGACAGTGGTGGCAGTTGTTTGTGGCCTCTCTGAAAGTTGACAACAATCTCCTTGTTAATGACAATCAAGTCATTAACTAGCAAACTTTTTGAGAAAAGAGTCTTATGTTAGGAGAAAGAGTCTTAGAAAGAGAAAGAGTCATATGTTAGGAGTCCAGGGGCAAAAACTAGTCAGGATCAGGTAATCAGAAACTCAACTGGGCATGCTAGAGAACTTTTACAAAAGGATTGAGAATAATCTTGTACTGATGGCTGGGAACAAGGAGTTTAAATAGAAGCAGGAGCCGATTGATCAGATAAGCAGTGATGAGAAACAGGGCAGAGCAAGACAGGTGAATGAAATGAGCAATTATGCCAGCCACCAGCAGCAATACCAGTGTAATATGATGAAAAGGCTGAATTTTAAGAAATCAGATGAATTATTTTGAGCTTTAGAGAATGTGGTATACTCACATTTCAGTTTACATCTGTAGTTACTGCAGTGCATATTGGGAAATGGTACAGGCCTGGGTTCAAAAAAAGTTGAATAAAATTTGCAGGCATATAAAACATGCAGGTACTTTGAGTGGGCTAACTGGGCTACTTTTTAAGACACTTTATGGATAAACAAGTACAGAAGTGCAGACAAGCATAGTTAAACAAATGCTTGACAATCTGAGGACTGTGCCCATTTATATCGGCATTGAGTACGGTATGCTAGTGCTGCCACAGATGTATGAACATTGTATAGGGATTTTGTTGACCAGTGCAAATGTTCTCTTTCTTCACTTAATCCACCACGAATGTGTATTCCACAAATTTTAGGTTAATTTTTTTGGTATTTCCTATACATGACCCTAACATTACCTTAAACGTGAATTAAGTTTCCTTTTTTTTACCAAAGTTTCTTCTATAGTCTCATTTAGTCTGTCTATGGGAGAGTTATATGGGTTGTACTCTCCGGGCTGAATGTGATGTGCTTTTCTACATGGCTACCTCTTTAAATTTGCTTTGGCGGGTTGGCTATGTGCTAAAGGCATCCATGGGGGCATTAGTGTGGCTTATGGGGGGTTGCCTTGGAGGGGCAGATGGGGGGCTGGGAACTGGGTGGATAGTGTATGTATGAGGAATGTTAGAATAAGTTGTTGAGTGTCTGCTTGTATATATCTGTACAGGTGTAAGGGAGGGATTATGTGAATGCGACTAGATGAATGTGAATGTGTCTTTGTTTACTTGTAAGAATCAGTACCTTGCTCCTTTTCCACCTAAAAATGAGGCCTTAAAGATGAGTTGGGCCTATCTCTTCCCCATCATTATGCTCACACCTGGTGAGGAGCAACTATGTCTGCTGGTGTACTGATGGTTTTCTTGGTGCATGGTTGGGTGTTTCAATAGCCGCTGTCTCATTTCTGATGGCTGCCGGGGCTGGGCCTAGGCCTCTTGCTCTCATTTGGGTGTACCTTGGGTACAACAGGCTGTCAGCGAAGCACATGGGCTCCCTGCCATGGCCCTTGGTGCCTCAGCAGTATGGCCCCTGGGGCCTCAGCACTATGGCCTCTGGGGTCTGGGCCCCTCTGGGGTTGGGCCCTAGGTGCTCTTATCTGCCCTTCTCTGGTGGATGCAGTGGTCCCTATGTCGGGGCTTCCTATGTCCATATTAACTGGGTTGCCTTTGAACAACTGGGGCTCTGGCTGCCTCTCTATTGGTCCTGGGCCCTGTAGGGCGAGTCTGAAGCTGCCCACAACTGCTATTGCACATATTTTCCTTCTGAAGAAGCCTTGTAAACCCTTTATACACAAGCATTCTCATGCAAACATACTATAGGTGTTTTATTCCAAGTTGTCTTTTTCCATTTAATTTCATCTAATGCAGGTGCAGAAGCAGACTTGTATGAGTTACTGTATTTCTTCAAGTGTTATTTTGCTGTTTTGTTCTTTTGTTTTGGAACCTGTTCCACAATTGACACAATAGCAAGAGAACACAGACAACTGTTTTTGATGGTGAGTCACAAATAGAAGCCACAATTCACCCCAAACCCCATCACATCCTCTGCAAAAGACTGAAAAAGAAAAATTTGTCTAGCGGGTTGGAGAGGGCCAAACTGGTCCACGGACCATCAATGGAATGAAACAAAAGAATGTTTTAGGCCCCTGACCACCAAATACCAGCTAGAGCCCAGCTCAGATCAGAGCAGGGTCACTCATCTGCTTTCTCTCCTTCCAGAGGTTCATACAAGAGATGCTGATGATAACCCTGCGACCTGCTGGAGTTTACCATTTTTGAATTATCTTAAAATGTCACCTGTTTGTTCTGGCTGAATTCTGGATCCTTAGTCTCTAAATGTAACAAAAGTATCTTTTGAATGAAGGAATATACAGAATGATATTATTAGACCCTAACCTCATGTATTAATATACACATGCAGTTGATAATATATAGTGAAAGAGTTGTTGCAAATAAACAATGCAATGAATAAACTTCAGCTTTATTCATTATGTATTTTAGTCATCAAAGCATTATTTTCCATGAAATTGGCTGCAGTTCTTTGTGTGTTTAGGTTGACATTGCACATTTTGGCTTTCATACCAATATATCAAGAGAAACAAAACAGGTAAGAGCTGTTTTAACAGCTTGGCAGATGCTAATTAAAGGCTTCACTATTGGCCTACAAAGTTTAATGGAGTTGGTGTAGGGGTTTAATGGGGTCCACAGAGAATATAATTAATATTATAAACACTTCTGACATACAAAGATCAACTGCTTTCTAAAATTGAGAGACATCAGACAATCGTTTGTACATTTGAATATCCATTTACTATTTTTAAAGTTAAATTATTATTGTTTTTTCTACTGTTAATGGTATTATGTTTGTATGATATCCATCCATGGAGGGAGTTAATGAAACATACATAACACTTGAAGGACATGTAGAATTACATAAATACAAATATATTTATTTTTCATTCATGCTGACAGCATATGTTTGTATTGTTATCTGTAATTTGACCATTGTTTATGTTATATGGATGAACAAAATCCTCCATGAGCCTATGTACATTTTCATTGGAGCTTTGCTTTTGAACTCTCTTCTTTTCAGCACTAATATATATCCAAAACTACTTTCAGACTTTCTATCTGAGAAACAGATTGTATCATATTCAGCTTGTTATTTGCAATTTTTTCTTCTTTATTCTTTGAGTGGCTCAGAGTTTTTGTTGCTGGCAGTTATGGCCTATGATCGTTATGTATCTATATGTAAACCTTTACAATATGCAACTGTAATGGGACGAAAAACTGTAAGTATTTTTCTGAGTTTAGCTTGGCTTGTGCCTGCAGTTGTAATTGCAGTGCAGGTAATACTGAGCTATAATATGAAGCTCTGTAAATTGAATATTAATGGAATTTTTTGCAACAACTCAATTTATAGCGTCCACTGTTTAAATTTAAAGGTTCACATTATATTTGGTGCTGTTGCGTTGGTTATGATTGCATTCTTCCCTCTGCTGTTCATCGTTTTTACTTACACAAGAATACTAATAATAACATATCGCAGTTCAAAAGAGGTCAGAAAGAAAGCTGCTCAGACATGCTTGCCCCACTTGCTAGTTCTGATAAGCTACTCCTGTTTCTGTTCATTTGATGTAATCATAGCCCGACTGGGTTCCAACTTCACAAAGGTTGTCCGGTTAATAGTGACTCTACAGGCAGTTCTGTATCATCCTCTGTTTAATCCGATCATATATGGTTTAAAAATGAAGGAAATATCCAAGCAGCTGAAAAGGCTGTTTAAAGCTAAAGCAATTTGTTTGGGAAGCTGATGCATTACGATAAATACTAGATTTTTAGAGACTTTAAGTCACAGTTATGTCAAAAATGTAATTCCAAAACCAGTTTTTATGTTAGTGCTGAATGATTGTCCCTCCGTTGTGTAGATGGATATATTCAAGTATTGGAAGTGTGTGGTAAGGGTTTAAACATTCTGGTTGCATTAGGAAGACTAAATGGGTAAAGATAAAATAATGCCAAGTCTTTTGGCAGGTTGCAATAACTTTCTGTGGCAACATCTGAAAACTGGATTAGCGAAAGACCTTACTCACCTGTTAATCCTAAGATAATACAGCTTTCTCTTACTACAGTTACTTTAAGCCAAGCACATGCATGTCCTGTAAATGCATGGTCTCATTATCCATTAATCAGTTATTTATATTTTGTGTAAACAAAGACATTAAACTACAGTAAGAAGGTTAATTAAAAAAATGTTTTTTCAGGTAATTTTTTGGGGCATTCTACATAAATGTGCTTTATACTGAATAATTGCTCTTTGTAAGTACCAAATCCTTCTTGTTTTGCAGTGATAATTTTGAGGCTTTTCTGTTTTTTTACCTTGTATCTTTCTGCCAGCTTTGATTTCTAACAAAGTTCTTTATATTTCCCCTAAGAAAAAAAAAACAACAACAAGTCATACATGGTAGATTGTTGTTGGCCCAATTTCAGCTTTAATTATGGTAATTATTGACTCACATCATTTTGACAGGTCTCCACAATGTCGATAAATTATTTTGTTGCATTAAACAAAATAGGAATAACCAACTTCGATTTTTTATTTTTTTTACCATGAGAGGAGTGGCCTAAGCCTGGACACTTCTGCTGCCCATGAGCACGGAAGGAGAGACACTTTCCTTAAAAATATGTTGCTAAAAGGGTACTGAAAATAGCTGTGTGAGACAACGAAGTTGAAGAACCAGTCAGTATTAGGAAAGATCAAGATTATAAATTCAAATCATGTTATATAAGGCTTTATTTCTTTGTCATGTGGACTGACTTTAATAAATAACAGTTTGACTAAAAACATTTTCTTTCTCTGCTTTAGATATGAGGTTTACCTTGTAGTCCTGGCTACTCCAACTGACCAACCCATTCACTCACATTGGCCTGCTGCTGAGAATCATAAGTAGTTTATTTCCTCACTGTAACAAAGAGCTTTAGAGAACCAAATATATGAGCCAAGACAATATAACAGTGAAGATTATTTTGATGTTATGTTAGACGATTGTTTACAGTGTCGTTGTGAAAAAACAACTCCAACTACTTACACTTTTAACTGTTAAAGAAAAAAAAAACATTAACATATCAGTAATTGATTTAATGTATTATTGACTTATTTCATAAGTAACACTGCTTATAACAGCAGCTAAAGCACAAACTGAAATGTGGGCAAACCTGGCTATCTAAAAAAAAACAAAACACAATCATCACCATGTAAGTTAACCACTGGCTTTCTAGCTTGTTGTACCAATCGATTCCTGAGGCTAGTACTCAGTAGTGCCTCACGAACTTGTATCTTGAAGACTACATGAACCTTTATATAATAATATAGAATCAACTTTATGGTAAGAAGTACAGAGAACATTGACAAGGCCAGACATAAATTCCATAATAGGGATTCTCTCTAAATACCTTAAAACCTATGACAGTTTTTGCCAGTATGGTTAATTTTGATTGTACTTCATTAGTCATATTGAGAAATTTATTAAACTTATCTTTGGCCTCACCATCTTTCAGAAGTCGATTCACTTATTTCTATAGACTTATGACCAACTTTCAGTGATGGGAGTAACAGCGTTGAAAGTAATCGTTACTAACGCTGTTACCTTTTTTTAGTAACGAGTAATCTAACTAATTACTTTGACTGTAACTATAACGCAGTTACCATTGCCGACACCCCGTTACTGCACGTTACTCAGGTTGCACAATGAACCTTTTTTTCATGATAGGACTCGTGCGCGCCTTGTCATGAGAGGGGAGGATGAGATTGGCTGATGTATAGTGAGATTACGTCTGTCAGTTGGGTAGGTGGAGGTTTAGAAGCCCATCAGATATGGTTCCCCCATGTTAAGCAGGGGAAACGCTGTCTGACGGGCTTTAGAAGCCCATCGGATACGGTTCCCCCATGTTAGACAGGGAGAACACTATCTGACGGGGTTTAGAAGCAGGGGAAACACTATCTGAGGGGGTTTATAGGCCCGTCAGATAGCGTTCCCCCCGATGTCATTGACGTTGAGTTGCAATAAATGCAAAACTCTCTGCAGGTACTTGTCTTTGTCGTCCTCTATTCAGCTGGCTTTTGAAACAGTAGGCGCGTAGGAGGGGGCCAGGTGGTGAGAGTTACGGGGGTGAGAAACGTAAAAGTAACGTAATAGTTACTTCTACTAGTAACTAGTTAGTTTTATTGTGGAGTAACTCAGTTAGTAACCGAGTTACTTTTTGGGGGAAGTAACTAATAACTATAACTAATTACTTTTTCAAAGTAACTTGCCCAACACTGCTAACTATATACATATTCATAGAGAATTAGAAAAGCTGACGATAAGACAAAGAAACTGTCAGGGTTGGGTTGAGGTTTTGAGGACCCAATTGCAAAGGTAAGGAAGGCAGAGGTGAGTCTTGAAGATTTAATGAATAAACTGTGGCAAAGATCCAAAAACCAAGTTACAAAGACAGGGCTAATGAACTGATTAGGATTCTAGAGAGGAGCTGGGCAAAAAGGAGACCAACACCAGAGGGCAATAGATAAATACCTAAGAACAGGGGCGGATCTAGAAAAATATTTATGGGGTGGCAAGAGGGGGGCAGGAATTTTTTAGGGGTGGCAACATATGGCATTTGTTTACACTGAATTTAATCACAGTTATCACAGTTTGGTGAGAATAGTATGTACAGTACTAGTGTTTCATGTGAAACAGTTCATGTGATCTCACTTAATAGGAGATAGAAGAATGATAACACTACTTCTAGAGGGGCCTTATGACAGGAAAGGTATTAAGGTAAGACACAGGTGCTGAGTCGCAGATGTGTGAGATTGACTGTCAGAGAGGCAGCTTTGCAGCATTTGCACAAGAAGAAACTATAGAAAGAAAAAGTTACCCATCAGAGATCTATGGACTGAGCTGGACTAAAGTCAGCATAACTACACAGTAGAAATAAAAGGGTCAAGGCACCCGAACAAGGTACTGGACATCTATGTAATGTTTACTCTGAACACACATTAACCCCATTTGTTCCTCAGTAACTTGACATACAGCAGTTACGGCAACATGAAAGGGACATTTCATGCATGTAAATATGCTGTAGATAGAGCTGTATATGGAGTACCAACTCTGCCATATTTAAAAATAAATACAGAAATAAAGAAATGCTCAATAAATAAATAAGCATACAATTAATTGCCACCAAAAATACAATCAATAAATAAATGTAATTAGAAATTATATTATAATGGCAGGCAGAAATGTTAAAAGGGCAGGCAGAAAGAAATAGCGGCGAAGAAATAACTAGGGTAAAAAAATACAAAGGAAGAATAAAACAGACAGAAATATGAGAACATGCAAATAAATAAATACTTAAAAATATAAGTAATTAAAAGATGAAGTTGAAGATAATAAATGACAAAAAATAAATAAGGTAAATATTAAAAAGGCAAAGAAATAAAGAAGCCAATTAAAAGAGTTATAAACCTTTATACCTAGCTGTATAATTTAATTTCTACTTACATTTATTTGTTGTTTGTATTTTTGGTGGCAATTAATTGTATGCTTATTTATTTATTAAGCATTTATTTATTTCTGTATTTCTTTTTAAATATGGCAGAGTTGGTCCTCCATACTGCTGTATCAACAAATCAACAAAAAGGCGGGTTCTGTATGTTTCGTCAAAATCTCCACAAATCTGAAAAGAAGTAACATAAAAATACATTTTGCTTGTGAGTAGGTTCATACAGGTCATTTCTGGATAGTTTCATACTATATATACAAAAAAGAAACAACAACACTGCTTCATATTAAGCAGGATTCACACCAGTATCACATTTTTAACTTTTAACACTTTTGGTTTTATTAAAGGAAATATCAGATTTTCTCAAGTGCCAAAACAAAATGTAACATCTCTGTAAAGGCTCACCAGAGAGCATAACATAAAGTTAACATGACTATAACAGCTGAATGCAGTGATTTCCATGTTGCTCAGCAAAACGCTTCACAACTTTATTTAGATCTAATGCCTTTGTGCGTTTTGATTTGAGTACAACCAAACTTGATCGTCTCTTTTCTGTCATAGTTGACCGCAAATATGTCTTTATGAGCCTGAAACGTTAGGCTTAACTAACATCATAGTTAGAGAAATAACGTTCTGCAACCTGATTTTTATCATCTCAAAATCAGTATTGCAGCTATGCTAGCAACATTGTGCTTTCATTATGATTTAATTTCTCGATAGATAGTTAATCAGTTTTTACCTGTTTCATCCCGTTTCTCCTCTCCCCATCACCCCTGGCTCCCTCGCTCGGTTTTCAAAACAATCAGTCTCAGTCGCTCTCGCGTCATCTCGTGATGCATTCACTGCAGTCCGACATTGGAAATTAGCGGTCGTAATTCTCAAATGATCCATAATTTATAAGCCTCGCCACCCCTACCGCCAACTGGGGTGGCAGCAGGGGTGGCACCAGTAGATCCACCTATGCCTAAGAACTAAATACAATACATCCAGAAAACACCACAAAATAGGAATTAAACCAATAAATCTAGAAAACAAAGAATAACATGGATCAAAGTGAAACTGAAAACTCAAAGGAAAACTTAAACAGAACCAAACCAGTGGCAGTACCCCCAACTTAAGGGCGGAGCGCAGACGCCCATAAATGTCTAAAAATAAAAACAACCCACCGAGGATGACGGAGGGGGGACCAGGAAGGAGGGCACAAAACAAAAACAAGGTCTAAAACACAAAGCAACCCACCCTGCTTGGGTGGAGGGGGAACCAGGGC